ATCCTTCGGGCAGCCATCTTCATTCAATTTCGGACGATTTCTTGGTGAAGCTGGTGTAGGTGGTGGGGAGATTCCTAGAAACAACTTCTCTATAACCCTCTCACACTTAGCACTTGTCATTGCTGAAGGCTGCTGTCATTTTTGTCAACTAACCTGGTGTGAATGGCAAATTCATCATCGGTTCTCCACAGATCATAGTTTGTCCGTTTGCACCACGAGCTGCTGGATACATACCGCCACAACCCGAGAGATCCGCTAAAAAATTGATTATTATTTTTTATTCATTCATCTTCATTCATGCATTCATTCATCCACATCATTCCACTCATATCATCTCATATCCACTTATTCATTCATCCAACATTGCTTCAATTCATTTGTTCATTATTTGAGTCCAGACATTCACTTTTCATACATACTACATGCACAAATTCATTCATTCATTCATTCCTTTCACATTTCACCCATTCATGAGTCGAATCCATTCATTCACACATTTAATCACTCAGTAACTCGCTTGCTCTGCTCGTCATTCATTCTTCGTTCATTCAATCAATCATCTAATCATTCATTCATCTATCCACTTTTTGTTCATTCATTCAATTGATCTCCCAATTATTTAGTCATTGATTCATTCGATTCGTCCATTATTCATTCATACATTCAATAGACCCTTTTTATTCATGCAATCACATATGCATCCAAAGTTTTTCTTCCTAATTGCACTCACCGCCATGATTGCATGGTCCAAAACATAACATACAATTGTCAAATAAAACTTACGGAGTTTGCAACCAAACGAGCAATCCGCTGAACTTTTGTAATTGTTCTCATTTCCACCACAACCAAGATATTCGAAAGCTAAGCAGGCGAATGTTCGATAATCAAAGAAGTACTAAAAACAATTAGAGTCGGTTTAACATTGAGCAAAATTATAGAAAAAATTTATGCGCGTACGAACTCTAATTGAAGGTTTTGCATCACGACATGTTGTTCCACGATGTCGATCCAATTTGCAGCTCTCTTTAGCTACTGGATATCGGTCTTGTAGCTCTCCTTCTATCGTTGGGAATTGAGCAGGGTCAAGCGAGAATTCTGTAGAGAAAAAGATGTTAGAAAAATTAGAAGCTCTCCAAATAACATCAACTCTCACCCATATTATCGCATTTAATCCATTGATTCTTCCCCTTCCGTTTTCTTGTGTTCGGAAGCTCTATACCATTAATTGGATCAACGCAATAGCAGTATTCCTGCTTCCAATCACATTGCAATGGTTCGTAGTTTCCTGTAAAAGCATTTTCATTTGAGCAAAGTTTATGGAATGGCTTTTGTAAACGTAGCGTACGGACTATATTATTCCCAACTGTTGGATCACATTTTGGGACACTAATCTCTCCCATATTTTACTTCAAACTTACAACTGACAATTTCTTGGAATGTGCTGCGATTCACTTTTTTGCGAACACAGACTATTCACTTATTACTCTTCCACTGAATTTGCTAAATTGTTGTAAGTGGATTCCTGTTCCCAAAAAACTTAGCCTCTCTCTTCTTCCAAATGTCCACTTCCAGACGAATTATGAAACATTGTGACGTGAAAAAAAACAAAACTTAGTGTTTGGCTCTCGTCTTTCCCCGGCAACTTTTAATTCATTCAGTACGTACATACAGTATGTACATGAACTATAGGAATTACGTGAAAAACTGAGAAAAGAACCATGAGAATTCAT